CTCGTCCCTCACTGCTGCTGCAGTGAGTGCATCACTCACTCGTCCCTCACTGCTGCTGCAGTGAGTGCATCACTCACTCGTCCCTCACTGCTGCTGCAGTGAGTGCATCACTCACTCGTCCCTCACTGCTGCTGCAGTGAGTGCATCACTCACTCGTCCCTCACTGCTGCTGCAGTGAGTGCATCACTCACTCGTCCCTCACTGCTGCTGCAGTGAGTGCATCACTCACTCGTCCCTCACTGCTGCTGCAGTGAGTGCATCACTCACTCGTCCCTCACTGCTGCTGCAGTGAGTGCATCACTCACTCGTCCCTCACTGCTGCTGCAGTGAGTGCATCACTCACTCGTCCCTCACTGCTGCTGCAGTGAGTGCATCACTCACTCGTCCCTCACTGCTGCTGCAGTGAGTGCATCACTCACTCGTCCCTCACTGCTGCTGCAGTGAGTGCATCACTCACTCGTCCCTCACTGCTGCTGCAGTGAGTGCATCACTCACTCGTCCCTCACTGCTGCTGCAGTGAGTGCATCACTCACTCGTCCCTCACTGCTGCTGCAGTGAGTGCATCACTCACTCGTCCCTCACTGCTGCTGCAGTGAGTGCATCACTCACTCGTCCCTCACTGCTGCTGCAGTGAGTGCATCACTCACTCGTCCCTCACTGCTGCTGCAGTGAGTGCATCACTCACTCGTCCCTCACTGCTGCTGCAGTGAGTGCATCACTCACTCGTCCCTCACTGCTGCTGCAGTGAGTGCATCACTCACTCGTCCCTCACTGCTGCTGCAGTGAGTGCATCACTCACTCGTCCCTCACTGCTGCTGCAGTGAGTGCATCACTCACTCGTCCCTCACTGCTGCTGCAGTGAGTGCATCACTCACTCGTCCCTCACTGCTGCTGCAGTGAGTGCATCACTCACTCGTCCCTCACTGCTGCTGCAGTGAGTGCATCACTCACTCGTCCCTCACTGCTGCTGCAGTGAGTGCATCACTCACTCGTCCCTCACTGCTGCTGCAGTGAGTGCATCACTCACTCGTCCCTCACTGCTGCTGCAGTGAGTGCATCACTCACTCGTCCCTCACTGCTGCTGCAGTGAGTGCATCACTCACTCGTCCCTCACTGCTGCTGCAGTGAGTGCATCACTCACTCGTCCCTCACTGCTGCTGCAGTGAGTGCATCACTCACTCGTCCCTCACTGCTGCTGCAGTGAGTGCATCACTCACTCGTCCCTCACTGCTGCTGCAGTGAGTGCATCACTCACTCGTCCCTCACTGCTGCTGCAGTGAGTGCATCACTCACTCGTCCCTCACTGCTGCTGCAGTGAGTGCATCACTCACTCGTCCCTCACTGCTGCTGCAGTGAGTGCATCACTCACTCGTCCCTCACTGCTGCTGCAGTGAGTGCATCACTCACTCGTCCCTCACTGCTGCTGCAGTGAGTGCATCACTCACTCGTCCCTCACTGCTGCTGCAGTGAGTGCATCACTCACTCGTCCCTCACTGCTGCTGCAGTGAGTGCATCACTCACTCGTCCCTCACTGCTGCTGCAGTGAGTGCATCACTCACTCGTCCCTCACTGCTGCTGCAGTGAGTGCATCACTCACTCGTCCCTCACTGCTGCTGCAGTGAGTGCATCACTCACTCGTCCCTCACTGCTGCTGCAGTGAGTGCATCACTCACTCGTCCCTCACTGCTGCTGCAGTGAGTGCATCACTCACTCGTCCCTCACTGCTGCTGCAGTGAGTGCATCACTCACTCGTCCCTCACTGCTGCTGCAGTGAGTGCATCACTCACTCGTCCCTCACTGCTGCTGCAGTGAGTGCATCACTCACTCGTCCCTCACTGCTGCTGCAGTGAGTGCATCACTCACTCGTCCCTCACTGCTGCTGCAGTGAGTGCATCACTCACTCGTCCCTCACTGCTGCTGCAGTGAGTGCATCACTCACTCGTCCCTCACTGCTGCTGCAGTGAGTGCATCACTCACTCGTCCCTCACTGCTGCTGCAGTGAGTGCATCACTCACTCGTCCCTCACTGCTGCTGCAGTGAGTGCATCACTCACTCGTCCCTCACTGCTGCTGCAGTGAGTGCATCACTCACTCGTCCCTCACTGCTGCTGCAGTGAGTGCATCACTCACTCGTCCCTCACTGCTGCTGCAGTGAGTGCATCACTCACTCGTCCCTCACTGCTGCTGCAGTGAGTGCATCACTCACTCGTCCCTCACTGCTGCTGCAGTGAGTGCATCACTCACTCGTCCCTCACTGCTGCTGCAGTGAGTGCATCACTCACTCGTCCCTCACTGCTGCTGCAGTGAGTGCATCACTCACTCGTCCCTCACTGCTGCTGCAGTGAGTGCATCACTCACTCGTCCCTCACTGCTGCTGCAGTGAGTGCATCACTCACTCGTCCCTCACTGCTGCTGCAGTGAGTGCATCACTCACTCGTCCCTCACTGCTGCTGCAGTGAGTGCATCACTCACTCGTCCCTCACTGCTGCTGCAGTGAGTGCATCACTCACTCGTCCCTCACTGCTGCTGCAGTGAGTGCATCACTCACTCGTCCCTCACTGCTGCTGCAGTGAGTGCATCACTCACTCGTCCCTCACTGCTGCTGCAGTGAGTGCATCACTCACTCGTCCCTCACTGCTGCTGCAGTGAGTGCATCACTCACTCGTCCCTCACTGCTGCTGCAGTGAGTGCATCACTCACTCGTCCCTCACTGCTGCTGCAGTGAGTGCATCACTCACTCGTCCCTCACTGCTGCTGCAGTGAGTGCATCACTCACTCGTCCCTCACTGCTGCTGCAGTGAGTGCATCACTCACTCGTCCCTCACTGCTGCTGCAGTGAGTGCATCACTCACTCGTCCCTCACTGCTGCTGCAGTGAGTGCATCACTCACTCGTCCCTCACTGCTGCTGCAGTGAGTGCATCACTCACTCGTCCCTCACTGCTGCTGCAGTGAGTGCATCACTCACTCGTCCCTCACTGCTGCTGCAGTGAGTGCATCACTCACTCGTCCCTCACTGCTGCTGCAGTGAGTGCATCACTCACTCGTCCCTCACTGCTGCTGCAGTGAGTGCATCACTCACTCGTCCCTCACTGCTGCTGCAGTGAGTGCATCACTCACTCGTCCCTCACTGCTGCTGCAGTGAGTGCATCACTCACTCGTCCCTCACTGCTGCTGCAGTGAGTGCATCACTCACTCGTCCCTCACTGCTGCTGCAGTGAGTGCATCACTCACTCGTCCCTCACTGCTGCTGCAGTGAGTGCATCACTCACTCGTCCCTCACTGCTGCTGCAGTGAGTGCATCACTCACTCGTCCCTCACTGCTGCTGCAGTGAGTGCATCACTCACTCGTCCCTCACTGCTGCTGCAGTGAGTGCATCACTCACTCGTCCCTCACTGCTGCTGCAGTGAGTGCATCACTCACTCGTCCCTCACTGCTGCTGCAGTGAGTGCATCACTCACTCGTCCCTCACTGCTGCTGCAGTGAGTGCATCACTCACTCGTCCCTCACTGCTGCTGCAGTGAGTGCATCACTCACTCGTCCCTCACTGCTGCTGCAGTGAGTGCATCACTCACTCGTCCCTCACTGCTGCTGCAGTGAGTGCATCACTCACTCGTCCCTCACTGCTGCTGCAGTGAGTGCATCACTCACTCGTCCCTCACTGCTGCTGCAGTGAGTGCATCACTCACTCGTCCCTCACTGCTGCTGCAGTGAGTGCATCACTCACTCGTCCCTCACTGCTGCTGCAGTGAGTGCATCACTCACTCGTCCCTCACTGCTGCTGCAGTGAGTGCATCACTCACTCGTCCCTCACTGCTGCTGCAGTGAGTGCATCACTCACTCGTCCCTCACTGCTGCTGCAGTGAGTGCATCACTCACTCGTCCCTCACTGCTGCTGCAGTGAGTGCATCACTCACTCGTCCCTCACTGCTGCTGCAGTGAGTGCATCACTCACTCGTCCCTCACTGCTGCTGCAGTGAGTGCATCACTCACTCGTCCCTCACTGCTGCTGCAGTGAGTGCATCACTCACTCGTCCCTCACTGCTGCTGCAGTGAGTGCATCACTCACTCGTCCCTCACTGCTGCTGCAGGTGAGTGCATCACTCACTCGTCCCTCACTGCTGCTGCAGTGAGTGCATCACTCACTCGTCCCTCACTGCTGCTGCAGTGAGTGCATCACTCACTCGTCCCTCACTGCTGCTGCAGTGAGTGCATCACTCACTCGTCCCTCACTGCTGCTGCAGTGAGTGCTCGCTCCTCCCCTCACCCTTCCCTCGCCGCCCATGTCCATCTTCCCCGCTTCCCCATTCCCCTCACTCCTTGTCCCTTGCTTCTCCCGTTTTCCCGTTTCTTGTTCCCCGCTCCCCCCCCTCCCTCCCCCCCATTTCGTCTTCACCGCTTCCTCCTTTCCCCCCATTCCAACTTCCCCGAGTCAAGTATGTTCCTCATCACCGTGCTGCTTCCTCATCATCACCATGCTGCGTTCTGCAGGATTCTGCGTAACCGGGTTACCGCACCGCATGATTTTTGAGACGTCTCGAAATCGTCTCTGTACACCTTGTTGGTTTCCCTGCGCTATGAGCGCTCTTGTGTCCGCAGCGACGGCGGCGGACAGGTGCATGTGTCATTTGAATGTACTTGCCACTGCTGCTGCCGCCGCCGCTGGCAGAGCACCCTGGGTGATTGTGCTGCTTGCCTGCCTGTTCGCCCCACTTCCTGCTCGCCCCACTGCCTGCTCGCCCCACTGCCTGTTCGCCCCACTGCCTGTTCGCCCCACTGCCTGTTCGCCCCACTGCCTGTTCGCCCCACTGCCTGCTCGCCCCACTGCCTGTTCGCCCCACTGCCTGCTCGCCCCACTGCCTGTTCGCCCCACTGCCTGTTCGCCCCACTGCCTGTTCGCCCCACTGCCTGTTCGCCCCACTGCCTGTTCGCCCCACTGCCTGTTCCTCTTGGCCCATTCCCCTTGCCACCCCCCATCCACCCTTCCCCATTGCGCCCCCAGGCAGCACGAGGCGTCGGCCACCGCACTGCATCTCATGGCACCCAGCAGCACATTGGGACAGGTGCGGGGAGGGTGGGGGGGCAGGAGAGATGAGAGGGGGACAGGGAATGGCAAGTGGAGGGCAGGGGAGGGCAGGGGGAGGGCAAGGGGAGGGCAAGCGGCGGGCAAGGGGAGGGCAATGGGAAGCGGAGAAGTGGGGGAGTGAGGTGAGGCAGTTGATGGGCGGAAGTGTGAGAGCAGCAGGTTGCACGAAGGTACTTAGTGTGTGCGTGCGTGTGTGCATGTGCGCCCCCGCCTCCCCCCTTTTCCTGTGCCCTCACCCCCTCTACTCTTCCCTGGCCCCCTCCTCTCCATCTTTTTTACTGCATATCCGCCCTCTCATACCTGTCCTCTTTACCTGCCTTCCCTTACCCTCCTTCCCCTACCCGCCTCCCCCCACCCTGCTCCGTCCACCCTTTCCCCACCCTACCTGACCCTGCCCTAACCTCATCCCCAAGTGGCAGCGCAAGCAGGGCTGACCCCCCGGGATGGGTGGATTTGAGAAATCGTGGAAACCCTTCTTCCATTCTTTCCTACCCAACCCTCCTTCTCCCTCCCCGCAAGCAGAGTGGCAGCAGCAAGCAGATGGTGCAGCACGCCAAGGCGTTTGTAGAGGCAGGGCAGGGCAGGAAAAAAGGGGCAGTAAAGGGAGGAAAGGAGGGGAGGGAAGGAGCAGTGAAGAGAGGAAAGTGTGTGGGGATGGAGGTGGAGATGAAAGAGATGGCTGCAGAGGGCATGGGAGGTGGGGACGGTGCGAATAAAGCGATGGCGACGGAAGGGAAGGGGGACATGAGTAGGGAGAGCAGTGGGGAGGAGGGAAGCAGAGAGGAGGGAAGCAGAGAGGAGGGAAGCAGAGAGGAGGGAAGCAGAGAGGAGGGAAGCAGAGAGGAGGGAAGCAGAGAGGAGGGAAGCAGAGAGGAGGGAAGCAGAGAGGAGGGAAGCAGAGAGGAGGGAAGCAGAGAGGAGGGAAGCAGAGAGGAGGAAGCAGAGAGGAGGGAAGCAGAGAGGAGGGAAGCAGAGAGGAGGGAAGCAGAGAGGAGGGAAGCAGAGAGGATGGAAGCAGAGAGGAGGGAAGCAGAGAGGAGGGAAGCAGAGAGGAGGGAAGCAGAGAGGAGGGAAGCAGAGAGGAGGGAAGCAGAGAGGAGGGAAGCAGAGAGGAGGGAAGCAGAGAGGAGGGAAGCAGAGAGGAGGGAAGCAGAGAGGAGGGAAGCAGAGAGGAGGGAAGCAGAGAGGAGGGAAGCAGAGAGGAGGGAAGCAGAGAGGAGGGAAGCAGAGAGGAGGGAAGCAGAGAGGAGGGAAGCAGAGAGGAGGGAAGCAGAGAGGAGGGAAGCAGAGAGGAGGGAAGCAGAGAGGAGGGAAGCAGAGAGGAGGGAAGCAGAGAGGAGGGAAGCAGAGAGGAGGGAAGCAGAGAGGAGGGAAGCAGAGAGGAGGGAAGCAGAGAGGAGGGAAGCAGAGAGGAGGGAAGCAGAGAGGAGGGAAGCAGAGAGGAGGGAAGCAGAGAGGAGGGAAGCAGAGAGGAGGGAAGCAGAGAGGAGGGAAGCAGAGAGGAGGGAAGCAGAGAGGAGGGAAGCAGAGAGGAGGGAAGCAGAGAGGAGGGAAGCAGAGAGGAGGGAAGCAGAGAGGAGGGAAGCAGAGAGGAGGGAAGCAGAGAGGAGGGAAGCAGAGAGGAGGGAAGCAGAGAGGAGGGAAGCAGAGAGGAGGGAAGCAGAGAGGAGGGAAGCAGAGAGGAGGGAAGCAGAGAGGAGGGAAGCAGAGAGGAGGGAAGCAGAGAGGAGGGAAGCAGAGAGGAGGGAAGCAGAGAGGAGGGAAGCAGAGAGGAGGGAAGCAGAGAGGAGGGAAGCAGAGAGGAGGGAAGCAGAGAGGAGGGAGAGGTTAGTGATAGCGATGATGGGGAGGAGGGAGAGGAGGGGAAGCAACAAGGTGAAGAGGTGGGGGACAGGAAAGTAGAGGAGAATCAGGGGTTGCTGGGCGAACAGGAGGGGCACCGAATGGAGGAGGTCAGGGATGACGTCATCAGCGCAGAGGAAGGAGAGCAGCAGCAGGCAGCAGAGAGCAAAGGAGCAGCAGTGGAGGCGGAGCAGAGAAAGCAGGGAAAAGAATTGGAAGGCAAGCCAGAGCAGGGAGGGGAGGGTGGTGGTCAAGGGGAGCAGGGAGGGCAGCAGGCGGGGCAGAGGGGAGGGAAGCTGTGGGTGCGGGTGGAGCGGCGGGAGGAGATAGAGGCACAGCGGGCGGGGCTGCCAGTGGTGGCAATGGAAGGCGAGGTGATGGAGGCGGTGGGGGGCAGCAACGCCGTGCTTGTGTGCGGCGAGACAGGGTCGGGGAAGACCACGCAAGTGCCACAGGTGAGTGCGGGTGTGTGGGGTGGGGAAGGGGAAATGCGTGGGTGGGGGGAGGAAGGGGAGGGTACATGCGGGCCTGCCCTGCCATCTCCGTGTGCAGTGGGATGGGGTCGGGCAGAACGACCCAAGTGCCGCAGGTGTGTGGCGGAGGGGCGTGTGGGTGGTTGAGGGGAGGTGGAGAGGGGGGTGCAGGGGTTATGGGGGCAAGCGGGGCGTGAGAGAAGGTCCTTTCTCTTAGACCCCTACCTCCTCCCCCCTCCCAGTTTCTCTTTGAGACAAGGTACGGCCCGTTCTTCCCGAAGAGAGCCGGTGGGAACGGCAGGTAGGAAATTTTCGTGCAAATCACTCCCTTCCTCTCCTTCTCTCCTCTGCCTCCGCTCTCCCTCACCTTCACTTTTTCCCCCCTCCCCCCCTGCCCCCCTTTTCTCCACTGCCCCAGTTTCTCTATGAAGCAGGGTACGGCTCGTCCCTCCCGGGCGGCACAACCGGCATGATTGCCGTCACTCAAGCAAGGAGAGTGGCAGTGCTAGCCACGGCCAGGCGTGAGTTTTGATATGCCTGTCCCCCTCCTTCCTCTCTTCCCCTCCCCTCCCCCTTCCCTCCCTGCCCCAGTTTCTGTACGAGGCGGGGTACGGCTCGTCCCTCCCGGGAGGCACACCCGGCATGATCGCCGTGACTCAGCCGAGGAGGGTGGCAGTGCTAGCAACGGCCAAGCGCATAGCGGATGAGATGGGAGTCACCGTGGGCAGGGAGGTGGGCTACCAGGTGCGTCTATACTTTGATTGACCTGAAACCATTTTTTCTCCAAATTAATTGTTGGTCACGTTCTCCCCTTACCTTGCTAGTCACTCTTTCTTGCTCCTCAAGTTTTTTTTTTATATGCATTGCTCCTCACATTTCCCTTTCCCTTGTTGTAATTCAATCCATTCTTAACGAACAACCGGTATCCTATGGTGGTGCGCTTTGGGGGTGCGTTCTGGGCCTCCTGCAGGTGCGGTACGACCGCCATGTGGCGGGCGGCACGGCCATTAAGATCATGACAGATGGCATCCTGCTGCGCGAGGTGCAAGCGGACCTGCTGTTGCGGCTGTACAGCGCGGTGGTGCTGGACGAGGCGCATGAGCGGAGCGTCAACACCGACATCCTCGTCGGGCTGCTCTCGCGCATCGTGCCCCTCCGCTAGGCACGTTGGGGGCAAAGGGGAGGGGGGTAGGGTGGGTGCTGCTCTGCTCTCCCGCATCGTGCCCCTCCGCCAGGCACGTTGGTGGTAACGAGGGGTGGGGGGGAGACGGGGGTAGAGGGGAAAAAAGGGAGGGGTGAAGGGAGAGGGCAAGGGAGGGTGGGGAGGATGGTCATTGCTCACAGTCGCCGGCCCAGGGCAAGGCTGTTTTCTTGCATCGTGCCGTTCCGCCAAGCATGTGGTGGGCCGGGGAGGTTGGGGGTGATTTTGAGTCCACTAAAACATCGACTACAAATTTGGGTGTGGGCGCAGGGCATAAAGGGACGGGGCACTGATTGTCTATTCTGTATGCAGCAGTTGAGCAAAGCACAGCAGCCGCGCCCAGTCCCTGTATGCCCTGTATGGCCCTGTATGGCACTGTATGGCCCTGTATGGCCCTGTATGCCCCTAGGGTTGAGAAAAAAAACGAACACCTGTTCGGTTCGCCTCGTTGCTTAAAGTGTTCGCCAAACAGTGTTCGAGGTTCGCCCGGACACGTTCGTGTTCGGGCCGCTGCTGCAATTTGCCCCGCGACGAACACGAACGTGTTCGAGGTTCCTCTGAACACGCCTTCACAGGCGAACGGCAACACCTGTTTTTGCTAAAAGTGTTCGCCGAACCAAACAGTGTTCGGTTCGGTAAACGCTGTGTTCGTGTAGGGGCGAACACGAACATGTTCGTGTTCGCCCCTTGCTCATCCCTATATGGCCCTGTATGGCCCTGTATGCCCTGTATGGCCCTCTCCATTCATGATTCATCCACAGTGCCTTGAGCACGGACGCACACGAGTATTGGGTATGGATGAGTGCATGAAGAGATGAGAAACATACTGCACGTTGGATTCAGCAGGAGAGCACATAGAATCGTTTTCTCTTTGTGAGGTTGAAGAGAAAAAAAACCTTCAGCGGGAGAAGCTGGATTTCGTGGAGGAAGTTCAGTTTGAGGCGGGCGAGGATACAATGAGGAGAATCTCGAAAGTTCAAACTCTTGAGGTCAAAGGACATGGAGCTCAAGCGCGAGAGGAGCAATTTTGGTCTTCAAGGAGCAAGAAATGACCACGCTGAGAGGCATGGTCAAGGATTTATCTCATCCACAGTTTGCTAAAGAACAATTGAAGGCTGCCAATCTTAAGATTAGGAACTTGCAAGATCAAGTGACCAAGCTGATAGAGCATCTCGCCATGTTGGAAGTACAATTGACAACAAAGAGAAGATCGACTTATTAAAGCTTTGGATTGTTGTCACTTTAGCATGGATGGGCTTTTACAGGCAAACGATCACAAAAGCCGATCCATGCTAAAGTAATAACAATACAAACTTTTAATCAGTCGGTCTTCTCTTTGTTGTCAGTTGTACTTCCAACATGGCGAGATGCTCTACCAGCTTGGTCACTTGATTTTGCAAGTTCTTGATCTTGAGATTGGCAGCCTCCAATTGTTCTTTAGCAAACTGTGGACGAGATAAATCCTTGACCATGCCTCTCAGCGTTGTCATTTCTTGCTCCTTGAAGACCAAAATTTCTCTCGCGCTTAAGCTCCATCTCTTTTAACCTCAGTTGAGTTTGAACTTCCAAGATTTTCCTCATTGTATCATCGGCCGCCTCAAACTGAACCTCCTCTACGGAATCCAGCTTCTCCCGCTGAAGGTTTTCTTTCTCTTCAACCTCACAAAGTGAAAACGATTCTATGTGCTCTCCTGCTGAATCTATCGTGCAGTCTGTTATTCTCAGTAGATTGAGGCTCATGGCACACTCGCCGGAGGGCTAAAGCCCCAGGAGAAGGGCTGCTGGCAGCATTCAATGTGCCTGGAGTGCGGACACACGAGTGTGCTTCACAGCAACGCATGAGCTGCTCTCTGCCCCGTTGCCAAGAGAGGAGCATTCCTCACTGCCATGGCTGCTGGGGTCGTTCCGCTAGCTCACAGGCACGAATGGAGGAAGCAAGGGTGAGTGCTCACGTGAGCGCCACACTCTTCATCTCACACGTCACCCCCAACAACCACCTCTTCCCTTCCCTCTCTTCTTGCTCGCGGATGTCAGGGCCAGCGGCCGCCCTTCGTCCGTTCCGTCCCCTCTAAAGCTCATCACTATAAATGCCACCCCCCGCATCTCACAATTTACTCTCAACACGCGCCTCTTCACTTTTTCTTCTCCCTCTCGATCTGCTTCGTCCCTTGCTCCTTGTGTGTTTCGCTCTGCAGAAGCTAAATGATGAAGCCAAGGCGGTTGGCCATCTTTCCTCCGACCCGCCTCCTCTAAAGCTCATCATTATGAGTGCCACCCTCCGCATCTCAGACTTTACTCTCAACGCGCGCCTCTCCCCTTCTTTCATGCTTCTCCCGCCTCATTTCGCCCTACTTGCTCCCTTCACCACCCACAGAAACTCCACGAGGAAGCCAAGGCGGCTGGTCGACCTTCCTCCGCCCCGCCTCCTTTGAAGCTCATCATTATGAGCGCCACTCTCCGCATCTCAGACTTCACTCTCAATACGCGCCTCTTCGTTTTTTCTTGCTCCCTTGCCCCCCGCTTCTTCCTTTGCTCTTTTCTCCCCCAACACCCGCCTCTTCCCCCTCTCCTTGCCCCTGTCACCCCACAGAAACTGCACGACGAGGCCAAGGCCAGCGGTCGACTTTCCTCGGCTCCGCCTCCTCTGAAGCTCATCATTATGAGCGCCACTTTCCGCATCTCAGACTTCACTCTCAATGCGCGCCTCTTCCCAGCGGGCCCTCCCCCCGTCGTCTCCGTGCCTGCCCGCCAATTCCCCGTCACTGTTCACTTTGCCCGGCGCACCGAGCTCGTGGATTACGTTCGGGCAGCCGAGAAAAAAGTTTCTGCTATCCATCGGAAGCTGCCCCCTGGGGGCGTCTTGGTGTTTCTGACCGGGCAGAGGGAGGTGGAAGACCTTTGCAGGAAGCTTCGTAAGAAGTTTCCGATGAAGGTGGGGGGGCAGAGAAGGGGGGAAGGTGGGGATAGAGGAAAGGGGGGGCGGGGGAGCAGCACAGGTGGGGACAGGTGGGCCAGAGGTAGGGGAACTGGGGGCAGGGATGTAGTGAAAGGAGGAGGAAGTGGCAAGAAAAAGAGTGGGGAGGGGAAGACGGGCAAGGAGAATAAGAGGGAAGAGGTGGAAGCAGAGGGAGGAGAGGGTGGTGCTAAGGGTGAAGAGGGAGAAGAGGCAGGAGAGTTGGGTGGTGGGGGTGCGGAGAAGCAGGGCGAGGCCGATGCAAATCTGGATGCCATTGTGCGGCTGGAGAGCAGCGGGAGAGCAGGACGGGATGGCAATGGGAGGGAGAGCGAGGGGGAGGCGGAAAGAGAAGGGGAGGAGGCACTGGGGGGTGTGAGGGACGGTGAGGAAGAGGAGGCGGAGTGGGAGGCAGTGGTGGAAGGGGGAGAGTATGAGGGAGAGGAGGGGGGAGATGACTATGAGGAGGACGAGGAGGAGGATGAGGAGGAGGAGTGGGAAACGTGGGGCCTGCTGGGTGCGGAGAAGGGGGAGGGTGGGGAGAAAGGCGAGGGTGGGGAGAAAGGCGAGGGTGGGGAGAAAGGCGAGGGTGGGGAGAAAGGCGAGGGTGGGGAGATGCAGCAGGTAGGGGCAGTTGGGGAAGCTGGGGCAGGGGAGGCAGCAGCGGCAGTGGAGCAAGCGGGGCCGGGCGGCAATGGGGAGCAGGCGGGGCCGGGCGGCATGTATGTGCTGCCGCTGTATGCCATGCTGCCGGCCGCCCAGCAGCTGAAGGTGTTCGGAGCGGTGCCTGAGGGGTGCCGCCTCGTGGTCGTCGCTACCAACGTTGCTGAGACCTCCATTACCATCCCAGGTGATTGCAACATATCAGGTGATTGCAACACATCAGGTGATTGCAACAGATCAGGTGATTGCAACAGATCAGGTGATTGCAACAGATCAGGTGATTGCAACAGATCAGGTGATTGCAACAGATCAGGTGATTGCAACAGATCAGGTGATTGCAACAGATCAGGTGATTGCAACAGATCAGGTGATTGCAACAGATGAGATGATTACAACATATCAGATTATTGCAACAGATCGGGCTGTTGGATCAGAATGGTTCATTCTGATCCAACAGCCCGATCTGTTGCAATAATCTGATATGTTGTAATAATCTGATACACGTAAAGGTTTGTGATCAGCAAGCCCTGAGCAGGAGCAAGTGTTTCTCTCCGTTTCAGATATTCGGGCATAGAATGTCGGAATTTGCTCTTTGTCGCCTTTACTTTCACTTGCAGTTCCATATATGTTTCCTCAGACAGTCATTAGCCTTATTAGGGCTGAGGCTGCTTCCTCCTCACATGCGCTTCCTCCCAACCCTCATATCTGCCTGTTACCGCCGCTACCTCCATGAACCACTCCCACCTGCACGTGTGGGGTATGTTGTTGGATCATCTCCTTCCGTCCCCTTCCCCATCCCTCCCTGCCTCTGGCTGCCAGGCATACGCTACGTGGTGGACAGTGGGCGCGCCAAGGTGAAGCAACACACAGGGGGGGCGGGCTTGGCGCGCTTCACAGTGGAGTGGATCTCGCGCGCCTCAGCGGACCAGCGGGCGGGCAGGGCGGGGCGAACAGGGCCGGGGCAGTGCTACAGACTTTTTTCCAGTGCGGTTTTTGCCAACCAGTTTGAGGCGTTTGGGCAGGCGGAGATCGAGAGGACGCCCATTGAGGGCGTGGTGCTGCAGATGAAGGCCATGGGCATTGATAAGGTGAGAGGAAGGGTGTGGGCATTCATAAGGTGAGGCGAAGGGCTATGAGGCATGAGGGTATGGGGCATGAGAGTATGGGGCATCAGACCAGATTCAGTCCTGCTGCCTCTGTTCCATATGAAGGGTGCGGGCATGGATACGGTGTGGTCTAACCTTGGGCATGGGTAAGGTGTGGTCTAGGCCTTGGGAGGAATGAGGCATGAGGGCATAAAACTGCAGGCCATTCCATTCCCATTGCATAAACCCTCCCAATCCAATGTATCCCTCACTCCCTTTTTCGTCCACCACACCACCCTCTGCCCCCCCCACCTCCCCCAACGCCTCCCAGGTTCTCAACTTCCCCTTCCCCACGTCCCCCGACCCCCACTCCCTCGCCTCTGCCTTGCGCTGCCTGCAACACCTCTCCGCCCTCCCCCCACCAGTCTCCCCCTCCCCTTCCCCGTCCGCCTCACCCTCCCCCACCATCACCCCTTTGGGTCGCGCCATGGCGTGCCTGCCAATCAGCCCGCGCCACGCACGCACCCTGCTAGCCATCCTGCTCGAAGCTGCCAGGAAGGTTCCTCTGGTAGATCTGATGGGCGGCAGAACAGGGAACGGAGGGGAAAAGGCGGGGGAGCGCTTGGACGGCGGGAGGGGAGGGGGAGCGGGTAGGAAAGGGAAGAGGAGGTATATGGAAGGGGGCACAGACGAGGAGGGTGGGGGCGTGGGGTGTGAGAACAGCCAGAATCAGAGAGACGGGGAGGTGGGTGTGGAGGAGAAAAGGGAGGGGGAGGGGGAGAAGGTGGAGGAGGGGGAGGGGGAGGTGGGGAGGGTGAGTGCGCTGGTGGTGCGGTATGCGATAGCGGTGGTGGCGGCCATGAGCGTGGAGAGTCCTTTCCTGCGCCATGATGACACGGGCACGGCGGGCAAAGGGGATGATGGGGAAGGCACGGCCAGCCACGGGGATGCGGGGGTGATGGGTCAGAGAGGAGAGGGGGAGGATGGCAGGCGGGGAGGAGAGGGAGAAGCGAGGGCAGGTGTGGGTGGTGGTGGTGGCAGTGACGTGAGTAAAGAGGGTGGTGGCTGGCCGTTGAGTCGCCGGGCAGCGCATGCGCTCTTCTGGAGTTGCAGCAGCGACGCCATCACGGCCGCCAACGCCCTGCGAGCCTACGATGCTGCTGTCCGCGCGGGCAAGGGGGGACAGGAGAGCAGAAGCAGCGGGGGCAAAGGGGGCGCACGGGGGTGGGGGGGAGCGGGGGAGCGGTTCTGTCAGCGGTTGTACCTGCGGGAGCGGTGCATGAGGGAGATGTCTCAGCTCACCCACCAGCTCTCCCGCCTGCTCCTCACAGGCACCCGCGCCCACCTCCTGCAATCCTTCCTCTCCCACGCCCTCTCCTCCTCCTCACCCTCTGCTCCTTCCTGCCCCACTGCACCTGTGCCTCTCACTTTGCTGGTGGAGTGTGGAGAGCAGATGTGGGCGGGGAGAGCGGGAGCCGGGGAGGGCCGGGTGGAGCCGCAGCTGAAGGAGTGGGAGGAGGGGCTGATCCGAAGGGGCCTGGCAGCAGGCTGGCCTGACCGCCTTGCGAGAAAAATGGCCCCAGGAGACAAACCATCAGCTGCAGCAGGTGCTGCAGTTGCCGCTCACTCCCTGCCGAAACGTGCCGTGCGGTACGAGACACTGTTCATGGACGAGCCAGTGCTGCTGCACCCGCGCAGCGCCACCTTCCGCTCCGCCCCGCCGCTGCTGCTCTTCAATGAGATCGTTCAAACCGAGTCCCACCCCTTCCTCGTCACCACCACGGCTGTCGACCCCGCCTGGCTCCCCTCCTCCTGCCCCGTGCTCTGCTCTCTCTCCAAGCCGCTCCCCGATCCGCCGCCGCGATACCACCCCCCCTCGGACCGCATTCTCGCGACGGTGGCGGCTGTGTATGGGCCTAAGCGGTGGCCTCTGCCGCAGTGCACTGTGGACTTGGAAGGCAGCAGAGAGAGGGCGGCTGTGTTCGCGTGCGCGCTGCTGCAGGGGCAGGTGGTGGGAGCGATGAAGCAGTTACAGGGGGTGCTGGCTGGTAACCCTACGAGCTTGCTGCGGCCGGAGGGGCTAGGGCAAAGGAGAGCAGGAGATTTGGTGCATAGGCTGATGGTGGGGGTGAGGGGAGGGGGAAAGGGGGCAGGGGGGAAGGGTGAGAGTGGTGGTGGGGGAGGGGGGGATGTGAGAGGGCCCGTTGATAGTAAGGGGAAGCTAAGGGCGGCGTGGGAGTGTGATGGGGAGTTTCTGAGGGCGGAGGTGAGGACGTGGGTGCGGGCAGGGCAGGAGGGCGTGGTGGATGGGTTGTGGCGAGACATCGTGAGGGAAGTGGTTGTGGGGACGAAGAAGCAGAAACGCTGAGATACAAATCTTTGTACCCACAGCAGTCATGTTCTGCATTATTGTGGTGCAGCGTGAGTGTGCCACATTGTCATGGCTGTAAGGGAATATTTCGTTTTGGAATAAATACATCCTTAGTGGTACAACACGTTTGAAGAAGACAATGTTTACAGCTCGAGTAGGTTTACAATTAGCAAGCAACCAGGGATGCACACATCCAGCCATTTCCGTAGCATCTAAACATTCCTCCCCCCCCCACCCCCCCGCTTGACACCTGACTAAAAACCACTACGAGTGGTATGCAGACAACCCATACCTTCTTTCCATAGCTTGAGCTTCAAAATGAGCTTCAAGTTCGTCACAGCATTCATGAGTCAAGCTGAGAAGCATCTTCAGTTGGGAGAGGTCCTCCGGCAGAGAAGCCAGCTGCCTGCAGCCGTCCAGATTGAGCTCTTTAAGCCGGCTCAGTTGTCCAAAGTTGGAAGGCCGGCGGAGATTCAACGCATGAAGGCAGGAAAGTTGGGTGAGAGAAGCAGGGAGGTGGGTGAGCGATGAGCACTTATCAAGATTCAGCTGGCGCAGTCGAGACAACGCCCCGATGCCGTGCGGAAGAAAGGCAAGCTTAGGTGCATGGATTTCAACAAAGGTCAGGGATTGAAGGTCGGTGAAACTATCAGTCAGCTCCTTCAATTCTGCAGCCTGGTGAATCTGCAACCCCCTCAGCTGCCGCAATGCCGAACCAAACCCTTCTGGAAGCCTCTCCATGCAACCAGTGCTGTGGAAAGTCAAGCTGCGGAGGTTTGAGAGAAGTTCCAGAGGCAGTGGAAGGTCCTCTGCCTCTCCAGCCAGCGTCAGCTCTAAGTGCTCCAGGGACGGAAGGGTCATGCCTACAGCCAGTCCACACATGATCCCAACACTTGTTAAGGTTATTCTTCTCAGCCTGGGCAGAGAAGGAAGCTCGAGCAGAGGGGTGAGGCGCTGGGAGCTCCCTATGGAGAGCATCTCGAGGGAACAGGGCAGGGATGTTGACACTTGTGCTAGCTGGGGGAGCTTGCCAAGAGCCAGTTCTTTCAGCCTTGCAAGGTTGCTCAAGCTGGTGGGGAATGCAGTAAGGCTGTCACAGTCCATAGCTTTCAGAACCTTCAAATTGACAAGGTCAGTGAGAGAACCTGGAAGCTGCTGAATCTTGGAGCAAGACTGGACGGTCAACTCCCGCAGGTTCCTCATCTTCCCCAAGTCTTTTGGAAGTTCTGCTAGCATACACTCGGTGAGCTCGAGCATTGTGAGGGAGGACAGCTGCGTGAAGGAGGATGGAAGCTGCTGCTGGGGGGAATTCTCTCTCAGACGGAAGGTGCGGAGGTTGGTGAGTGAGCCTATGTCGTCTGGGAGCTTCAGGTTCGGCGAGTTGAGGATGTAGAGGGAGTTGAGTGCGGTGAGGAAGCCGAACCTTGCAGGAAGCTCAAAGATTGCGTTGCAATAAGACAGATAGAGGGCTTCCAGAGTTGTCAGCTGGTAGAATGAATCTGGGAGACTCGTAATCGGCAGGCTGTTCAGCGTCAGCACTTTCAAAGCGGGCAGCTCTCCAAAGTTTTCGGGCAGGCTGACAATGTCGCATGAGAAAATAGTCAGGTCACGCAGGCAGCTTAGTGAAGCGAACTGTTCGGGCAGCTCGGGAACATTATTCCATCCCCACAAGCTCAGATGCCGAAGGCGTGGCAACCGCTGTCCAATGTCATCAGGAAGACGTGCCACCTCGCTGACACTGCTACCTTTAAGAAGCAGCCGCTCGAGACGGCTGAAGGAGACTCCCGAGGGAAACATCGACTCGAATCGCGGACTGAACGCGTCGAACTCCACCGCTTTCAGCCAGGGCAGCTGGGCGAATGAAAATGGTTGAGAGCCGGCGACTTCTAATTTCAGCCATGCGTAGTTGAACAATGCGAGGGTGGTGAACGCCGGGAGATGCGTGAGGCTCGCGAAATTCAGACCTTCCGGCTGTGGAATCATGTCGACGGAGAGTGCGGTAAGAGAAGTCAATTTCGTGAACCCTGGAGCCTCGAGAGGTGAGGCTTCGGTGAGAGCGAGGGTGTGTAGATTCGTAAGGAGCGAGAGAGAATCCGGCAGCTTGCAGTAGCGATGCAGGCAGTAGAGCGAGAGGTGCTGCAGCCGAGAGCAGCGACGCAGGAAGCGGTCCAAACCAGCCTCGGTCACCAGGTTCATCTCCTCAGGCTCATATTCCGCCGTCAGCGTGATCTCTCTCCCCACGTGCAGCGACACCAGTTTAGGGCACGCAGAAGCGAGGAAATCGAGAAATGCGTCGCTGATGGTCTCAACGCTGTTGTCGCTGAGGTGCAGATGAGAAAGGTTCGGGAAGCACGTGATGGCAGCCGTGAGATCTTGGAGTGAAACGGCGACGTTTTCCTTCACGAGGAGCATTGAGACCTGACGGCGAGCCAGGCGACGCCAGCGCTTGCAAACGGATGCGATGAGAAGGTGGTAGGCTGGATCTGTGAGAACGGTAGGAGCTGACAACGGTGTAGTACTATTACTGGTATTTGTAGCAGCAGTGGTATTATCGTCGTTCCGCTGGACGGAGGACAGGGACGAAAATTCTTCCAAGGCGCTGAGGTCGTCGCCGTAGGGGCTGTCGGAGGAGTACCTTGGTGGACGCATGATGTGAACGGATGGATGAATTCTAAGGTCTTTGGATTGGCGGCGAAGTGGAACTTCGTTCTTGGAGTGCCAGAAGATATAAACGAGGAGGTCATCTGACAGGTTGTTGATGTACGAGGAGGGAGGCATGGTACCTGAACTATAAGACTGGCAGTTGAGGTATCACGAGGTAATGTCTGCGGAAAGAACGCTTCTGCAAAGATTATTAGGTCAAACGGCTGCGGCCTGGGAATAGCTGGAGCTGGGTGGTGGTGGTAACGGATATCTGTCTTGTATGTTCTTTTTGCGTGTCTAGCTGACAACTCAACGGGAAGGTGTTTTGATGGAATGAGAAACGGTTGGGTAGGGTGGGTAGTTCGGTTCAAATACGTACGAGAATGGAAGAGCTGCAGCACCATGATACTGGGCAGGCAGCCCAACCAATGTGGGGTCCTGAAAGGTGATGGCTCAAGTTTCTCGATGTTGAAATCGCCAGAAACCAGGTAACCCGGTTTGGGCCTTGCACACCCTCGCCACCCACGAACATGGTTTTTGGGGTGGAGATTCTGATTGGCCGAAATCAACAGATACGAAACGACCCAACTGGTTTGAAAATTGTTCAGGTACTTCGCGGATCCGTTAGGCAGATCGAACTTGTCAAGCGAAGCTGTGAGTAACACACGACCTTCGCTCGCAATAAACATCGCAATGACCTTCGCGCAGATCGAGGGCCAAAAACACTCACTTTCGCGAGCGAACACACTGTATGGGTGGCGCGTGGGCTATTCGCGTGGGCTTGGCGAGAGTGTGGTTACTTGGTTCAGATAGGGGGTGGCTGGGTGCGTGAGGTGATCTGTGTCAGAGCGTGTCACCTCGGGTGGTAACCAGCTGTTCGAATTCCTAAATTTTGGGGGTTGGCTATGGTACAGAGCGTTTAAAAATTAATCCACTTGGTTTAGTACGGTGATTGTTCGAACAAGCCCTTCAGAGCGTCTGAGTTGACGAGTCAGCTGAGTTTGTCAAGTCAGACCTCTTCTTCCTTGACGCACTTATATCTCAGTACGCGCTAACATCTCAACTCCGCTACAAGCGTAGTGAGCCCCGTGCTTGCATCAACAACTGCAGCGCGGAGTGCGGCGGGTTATAACGCCCCACAACTTACTCGTTCTAGGATTAAGATTCTCTCGTCATCACGCCCGCACTGTCGAGAGCAGAGGCGGCAGTTTTCGCTCCTGCGCGGGGTGCGTTGCCGCGCGACTGAAGCGCGCACGACCCTCGCGCGTGCCTGTTGCGCCCGGGCGTCGCGGTCGCGCCAGGAGTCGCTGGCTCCGCCAGCAGGCCACGCGCGCCCTCAGCGCGCGCGCGCTGATAGGCCCCGCCGTCCCTCCATCACCGCCCCTCTCGCCCAATGGCGCAACCGGCGGCAGTGGATTTCGCCCTTCCTCCGCCCGCGGACCCCCTTGCCGCCGCCCCGCGCGCGACTCACCGCGGGCGGGCGTCCGCCCGGCGGCGCGCGCAGCGGAAGCTGGCGTCGTGCCTGGACCGCCTGGGCGCGTGGAGCCCGTTCGGGCAGGCGGAGGGCGCGCAGGAGGAGGCTGTAGGGGCGACCCGCGGAACTGCCGCGGCGGCGGCGGAGAGGGCCATGGATGATCGCGAGGAGGCCGGACGTGGGGAAGGGGAGGATTGGACAGAGGAAACAGAGGACGGGGGCGCGGCGGGGCGAGGAGCAAGCAGCTGTGAAGAGGTGCGCGCGGCGCAACCGCTACAGGTGCACGGGAAGGCGTGGCGCTGCGCCGCCACCTTTAGCGCCCCGGCCCACGCCCACGCCCCCGCCGCAGCAGCCACAGCAGTGCCCTCCCCCTTCGCCAAAGCTGGCAGGCTCGGGGCGGCGGAGCTTGCCAAACTGGAGCATGAGGCTCGGTTGGGCTTCCGAGGCAGAGGCGTGCGCGTGTCAGGGTGGTCCGGGGGCAGCTCGGACGAGAGCTGGCACGCGCTGGAGCAGCAGGCAGCCCGACGAGCAGTGCGGCCGGGCAGTGGGGGAGGGAGGCATGGGCATGCGCATGGGCACGGGCATGGCCTTTTGAGTGCGCATGGGCATGGGTATGCGCAAGGGAGTGGGGGTGGGGGAGCACGTGGTGGTGCTGGCGAGGGCTGCTGGGCGCACAGCCCTGGCAGCAGGCGTGTGGGATTCGGCACGCTGGCATGCGAGAGTCGTGAGGCAGGTGAGGTAGGTGAAGTAGGCACGGGTGGGACAGCACCGACGAGTGGTGAGGCATGGGTCCGAGGCAGTGGGGGCAACGGTGGCCAAGGAAACGCAGGCAGCATGGGGCCACCCAAAGCAAGGCGTGGGGCGGTGGGAAGGCGGAGGGGGCTGTCAGTGCGAGCAGAGGCGCGGAAGCGAAGCGAGGAGGTGGAGGGCCGTGGGGGGGAGATGGAGCGGGGGGGAGGGGAGAGGGCCGCGTTGCATGTGGAGGGCGAGGGGCGAGGAGAGGGGTGGAGGGAGGGAGGGGGCGGGCGGGCGGGCAGGGATGAGGCAGTGGAGGCAGGGGAAGGTAGTGGGGCGGGGGCAGGGGGAGATGCTGTGCTTGCTGCTCGTGGTGCTCCTGCTGCTGACGTGGACGGTCCAGCTGGTGAGGGAAACAACTTGGAAGCTTCTAGATGGAGGAGGCGGGGGGTGAGGAGGCACAGAGTGGGGGTGGCAGGGGAGGGAGCAGGCGGGGTTCTGGAAGGAGGAGGGAGAGAGAGGGGTGGGGGGAGTGGAGAGGGTGGGTTGGGTGGGGGAGTTGCGGCGGTGGGTAGTGGCAGCAGCGGCAAGGGGCACGGCACAGCAGAGGGGGAGGACAGAGGCCGGGAGAGTGGCGGGGCAGGCGGCATGGTGGTTGGAGTGACAGGGACGAGGCAGGTGTGTGGACGCAAGAGGGCGGGACGGGAGGTGTTTCGGGGAGATGGGGGGAGCGACAGCAGTGATTATCATGCTGAGGTGGAGGAAGGGGGAGAGGGGGATGAGGAGGAGGAGGAGCAGGAGGAGGAAGGTGAGGAGGAGGAGGAGAGAGGCACGGCTGGTGCGGGTGGGTGGGAGGCAGGCAGAGGGGGAGAGTGGGGCGTGTGGGGAGGCGAGGTGATGGCGGAGGAGACAGGTTGGGCGGCGGAGTGGGTGGGGTGCAGAATGGCTGTGAGGGGGGGCGGGGAGGCGAGTGAGAGCTCGGAGGAGGATGGTGGCAGCGCAAGCAGGGGTGTTGGGCAGATGGCAGTGGGGGCAGGGCGGGGTACATGGCGATGGAAGGAGGGCAGGCAGGTGAGGCCAATCAAGAGACTGAAAGGTGGGAGGGAAGGCAGGTGAGCCCCCCCCCCCCCCCCCCCCCCGCCAAAAAAATAAATTAATAAAAAACAACAATGAAACAAAACAAAGAAAAGCGGAAAGGCATGTGATGCTTAAAGAAAAGAAGCAGGAAATGTGGGAACAAATGTGAGGCTTGCACATGTCTCCGCCCATCATGATGTGCGTTCTCTGAAAGCTAACATCCTCCCCTCTCCCCCCTGGCATCACCATTGTGCAGCTTCGGAAGAGGCGGCGCTTCAGCGTGCATGCATCGCCATTGTGCAGCTTCGGAGTGGGAGTGGCGGTGACAGGGGGCCACACCAGCGACCCTGCAGCAGCCCCATGCGACACCTCCTGTGCCTCCGACCCCCTCGCTCCCTCCCTCTCCCTCTCCGCCTCCGCCAGTGCTGCCATTCTCTCTGACCCCACTATCCTGCTGTCTGACCGTGCTGCTGTGCCGCCCTCCCCCTCCCTCTCTGACCGCGACCGTCTCTCCGACGCCCATCCTCACTCCGAGCTGGGCAGGAGCTCTGATGCTGGCAGGCACTCCCCCGTACCGCACTTAACCTCACCTACTGCCCTTCCCGCTGCTGCTCCTGCTGGTGATGGTGCATTCAAGGGCGGCAGCAGTGGGAGCAGCGGGCGGCAGGTGGGCAGCGGGAAGCACGTGAGCCGGGCGAGTGGCGAGCTGTACTATGGCCACTCGCGCCCTGCCGGTTCGTCCCGCCCCACGCGGCAGCAGCATGGGCCACGCGGGGCTGTCAGGCCAGCACGGCAGCAGCGGGTGGAGGCGGGGCGTAGCAGCAGCAGCAGCCGGCGCTGCAGTGCTGCTGCCAGGGGAGCCCAGGGTGGTGCGGGCAGGTGTGGTGGGCGCGTGGGGAAAGGTGCGAGTGGAGGGGGAGGGTTGGGTGTGGATGGGTGGAGGCAGAGGGGGGGTGTGGAGGAGGGGTGGGAGGAGGGCTGGCAGGTGGCGGTGGTGCCGGGAGGAGGGGGGTATGTGAGCAGCAGCAGCACGGGGATTGACCTGCCTCAAGGGGCACGAGAGAGGTGCACACTGCAATCTTGCTCGCATGCCCTCATCATGCCTCCCTCCCACGTCCTCTAGTGGTTACTCTGGTTTTTATTAGTGTGTTTCTGTGTCATTGCCATATTGGGGTGTCGTTGGGGTAGCTTCACAGCCCTCCACATGTTGACTTGTCTCACTTTTACTTATACGTTCCTCCCATTAGCGGACACGTCACTGCCCACCTCTCTTCCTTGTCTGTGCCACAACCTTCTCCCCCTCCTCTCACATCCGACCCCCCCCTCTTTGTATCTCCTCATCTGTGCCCACTATCTCCTCATCTGTGCCCACTATTTCCTCATCTGTGCCCACTATTTCCTCATCTGTGCCCACTATTTCCTCATCTGTGCCCACTATTTCCTCATCTGTGCCCACTATTTCCTCATCTGTGCCCACTATTTCCTCATCTGTGCCCACTATTTCCTCATCTGTGCCCACTATTTCCTCATCTGTGCCCACTATTTCCTCATCTGTGCCCACTATTTCCTCATCTGTGCCCACTATTTCCTCATCTGTGCCCACTATCTCCTCATCTGTGCCCACTATTTCCTCATCTGTGCCTACTATTTCCTCATCTGTGCCCACTATTTCCTCATCTGTGCCCACTATTTCCTCATCTGTGCCCACTATTTCCTCATCTGTGCCCACTATTTCCTCATTTGTGCCCACTATTTCCTCATCTGTGCCCACTATTTCCTCATCTGTGCCCACTATTTCCTCATCTGTGCCCACTATTTCCTCATCTGTGCCCACTATTTCCTCATCTGTGCCCACTATTTCCTCATCTGTGCCCACTATTTCCTCATCTGTGTCCACTATCTCCTCATCTGTGCCCACTATTTCCTCATCTGTGCCCACTATTTCCTGCTCGTCCCCCTCACTCGCTTTCCCGTCGTCCTCTTCCTTCCTTTTTCTTGTCCCCTGCACTACCAAACGTGCTTTGCAATGCAAAGGGACACCTTGAAATCTAAGACTTCCCTTTCCTTTCGTTCTCTTTCCTTTACTTTCCTTCCCTTCCCATGTCTTCCATCCAATTCCCTTTTCTTCCATTTCCTATCCTTTCCTCACCTTCACCTCTTCCCGTCTTTTTCTTTCACTGTTCACTCCCTCCCTTCCCCACTCTTTTTCCTTCCTCCCCTTCCTCCCCTTCCTCCCCTTCCTTTCCTTTCCTTTCCGTTCCTTTCCTCACTCGCATCTGCTGCCCCAATCAGTACCCTCTTTTCTGCCTTCCCCTATGCCATGCTTTCTAATTCCCCTCTGCTGCATCTGTCTCCCAGGTGGTCCACAGCAGCGGTGAGCACGCCGAGGAGCATAGTGGAGGGGGAGGCGCTGCCGCTGGGCAGAGAGTGGGCGAGAGGCGGGGCGTGGGCGAGGGAGGGGCCGTGGGAGCAGGAGCAGGGGCGCGCGGGGGAGGAGAGGCGCAGCGGGCGGGTGGGGAGTGAGGGGCAGAGCGGAGGGGACTCGGGGTATGGCAGTGACGTGGGGTATGGCGGGGATGGGGAACTGGGGAGTGATGTGTGGGGTGGGGAGGAGGATGAAGAGGATGAGGAGGATGAGAAAGAGTCTGGCATGGTGCTTGCATCAGCAGCAGCAGTGGTGCATGCTGCTGTGCGCGTTGGTGTGTTCACAAACACTCATCCTGGCACACAGGCTGGGGGGGTCACATGTGGCACACGCAGTGCAATGCAGCCTACCACCTGGCCCCCACCACCACCAGCAGCAGCAGCAGAAGCAGCTCTGCAGCCGTGCTGTTTCCATCCAGCAGACTTTCAAATCCCACCCAAAGTAGACTTGTGACCATGGCTCGCTCATTGTGGCTGTACTCACAGTACCGTATAAAGTTCTTGCTTGATTACAGATAGTATCAATTAAGCTACGATTGGCAGTATGAACACAGAGTAGGAAAACAGATAGTGTGGCAGTATGAATGATTGTGGAGGAGGCATAGGATGCTTCATAGTGTCCGTCGACCCTTGGAAGATGTCAAACAGATGCTCTGCTGTGCCTTATCACTTCTTCGCTGCTCCTGCTGCTGCTTGTGTCTTCAGCTTGCTCTGAGCAGATGGGATGGGTGGGGAGGTGGGTGGGTGGGCGTGAGAGGCAGGTGAGTTCAGTTGGCATGGCAAGCAACTGGAGAGCCAGCGGAGACGGTGCATCCCTGCGGCACACATCAAGACATGCCATGCCATCCATGAAGCAGACATGTCTGCAACTTTCACAAAAGCCATCCTCGCACACAGCCGCTCACCCCCAAGCTGCGAGCCGACGTTTGAGCTAACTCAAAAGTCCGCAGTGCGGGTGCTTTGTCGTTCGCAACCGCAGTGTGGCATGTCCCATTTGAGCTTCATTCGCGACGGGTTCATTCACTGAGCGATCAGGACCGTCATTATGCAGCATAACAGCCCCATTGCGTCACTGCGTAGAGATGGGAGTGACGAGCGCGGCAAAACAGCCTCATTGCGTCACTTGATAGAGATGGGAGTGACGAATGAGCTGCGGACGACTAATGACAACAATGAAAGCGATCCGCGAGTTTACCTGAGAGCCAGAGCGTACTTCGCGGGGAAAACAGAGCTCGCCGCGTAGAGGTAGGAGGTGGGGAGCGAGAAGAGCTCACCGCATAAAGGTAGGAGCTGACGAGCGTGGTGCCGACGACCACGGCGAAGGCGACGCCGGTGAAGTGACGGCTAAACGGACGGGATGACGACAGGCGGGCGCTGGTCGACTGACGGGAAGATGGAAAACTTGACGGCTGCAGGAAAACGGAGCATGTAAAAGGAACGGGAATAAGACGAATAAGACGGGAAACGGGAATGAGTTTCATAAGTTAGGAAAGCGGGGAACGACGAGTGGTCGGGCATCGAGTGAATGGTGGAGCAGAGAAAAGCCACACGACATGAGCGAGCGAAGACGAGGCTATGCGACAAGACAGGACGGCCGCTGGTGGCTGGCGTGTTCTGAGACTAGAATGCGACGAGGCAGCGACGACTCATGCACAGCGGGAACAGCGCAGACAACGACATGATCAAAACGACGCGTAGACGAAACGCGTGAGGAAAAATCGGTGAGAGTGACGTGTAGGCAGCGTCTCGCCTTACCTACGCGCACAGCACGCTGGGGACTGGCAAGTGTAGGGTGTTGGTAGGGGGCTGGTTTCACCAGATGAGGCTTGCGCGGTTGGCTCGCCCATCTCTGATTTGGACAACACCCCGGAAACATGACTGACGAAAATATCCAGGGACCCTCGATATAGGTAACCTGTAGGAATTGGCTTTCATCCATTGTTACAACTATCAGCTATTTGGTATTGAACTAAGCAGCCACACATGGGACCATTCTGTATTGCTTATGTTTGGGAATAAAACAAACATTATTGCGAGCATAGCATAGCTATAAGGAATTACAATTCCTTACTCTACTCGCACTTTAGCGAGTTCATTCCGAGGAGCACGCGTCAGCTCAGTTCGGCCTATTTCGTCGCCTCAAACCACTCCCGAGTCGGCCTCGCTCCAATCGCAACCATCACCGAGCCATCTTCGCCCGACCTCTTCGCCTAGCTAGGACTTCCCCTATTTAGGCCTCGCTACTTTCCTTGTATCGTCATTAAGTAGTTTAGTATTCTCGTTATTCGTTTTACTGCGCACTCTGCAAGCTTCATTCATAACACCTGATATCAGAGCTACTTTCCAAGCCTACCCCGTTTTTTAGAGTGTGTTACCCCTCGGGGGGGGGGGGGGGGAAGGGGGGGGACGAGGAAGGATGTCTTGGGGTCCAGGAGTTGCGTAGGTCGGCCAAGAGAACGGGTAAGTTGCTTTTTGCGGCCATAGATTTTTCGTGCACTCCGCGGCATCGCCGGATTCTTGCCTTCGACGGTCGCGATCGACCGTGACCTCCCTCTCCCTGGGCAACGGACAGCTGGAGCTGTCGCGACATTAAAAGTGAGTTACTATTCCGCTGCATTCTTACCGACGATTTCTGAATTTTGTGAGGCAGGTGGCGTTAGCGGACCAGCGTCGGCACCTGCACGAATTTTTTGTAAGTCGTCACGATGAGTGGCAGTTGACGACGTCGAACCTGGGTCAACAGCTGCGCGTCAATTTTGGAGTTCGTCTAATGCGGCAAGTTACGACGGTGGCTCGTTGTCATTTTGCGCGCATGACTCGCGGAATGTGTTTCGGCAGCCGTTGACAACGGACATGCGACACTGCGGGTGACAATTTCGGAACAACTATGGAGGAAAAATTGGCTGGGGAACTCGCAAGGCGAAAATGGAGTTTTGCGTCAGAGGATCCCGACGGCTGGGGGAGTTAGACGCTCAAGCCGCCCGAATTATGTGGGGGTTGAGTATCATCCCGTCTGACTGGATAGTACGGCGCTTACCGTACTGACGGGCGAGTCGTCGACGATTTTCGGCAGACGTGCTTGTGGACAGACGGGAACTTTGAACCCGCCGACACTTACGGGCTGCAACAGACAATGACATGGCTGAATCGTACTTAGCGGAAGTGGGGCGCAGGCGCGAGAGCATATCGGGACTGAACACCCGAGAAATACTCGTTTGTTGCTGCGTGCCAGGAGTTGTTTGCCAGCTGTTCGACAGTTTTGAGACCAGTTTCCCCGTTCAAGGAAGTTGTTTTCGGGGACAGCCGCAGCAGCCCACGATTAGACGGTGTTCAAGGTGCCACCCCGACAATTTCGGAGTGTCGTGCAGGCCGCCGGGACACGCGAAAAGAGACTGCCCAATGGCTAAGCGGGGGTTGAAGAACGTCGGTGTGAGAGTACGACGTCTTTGCTAGACTTTACTTGCTTGATACTGCTTTATTACGCATTATGTAGCTTAGCTTTGCATTATTTTGCTTGCTTTTGCTAGATTTCCTAGGTTCGTTGCTTTTACTATATTTATTATAGTTATAGGCATCGAACTAGGTTGAGTGCACTGAATTCTAGGCTTTTCGGTTGCCACCGAATTGCCTTCTACCGAGTTTGGGAAGGACCCGTTCGGGACGCTTCGCGACCCGCGCAACCTTCTAGTAACACCAGGGAGGTTAATTGGTCGACCTGGTCGACCACCCAGTGTGCGCCCTGGTCGACGAACCCCTCGTCGATCACCGCGCCCGTCGAACTACTTCCCAGGTCGACGGAGGGGTCCGTCGACCACCAAGCTCAGCTTCAGCAGTCGAGCTCCCCTTGTCGACGGCTCCAGCCCCGCGACTGACTTGTGTATCTCAACAGTCACCTCGTCGATCTGGCCCACAGAAGTAGGCCGTCGGCTCATTGTCGACGGTATTGTTGTGTGATGCAATCATATACATTCACGTCTGTCTGCCTCCCATCACATGTTCGTGCGTTGCATGCGTGGTTTGAGCGTGTGCAAGAATTTGTGTTTTCCGTGGTTTGGATATTCTGAGTGTGTGTGAATGTTATTTGGCTTGAGCAGATATCTGAAGTGACTCCTCTGCTCAAGAGCTTTTCGACGAACCAAGTATCGCTTTAATTGGAGCACGAACAAGAAAGTTACGAACGTTAGAAGTTCGTATGCTTTTGATATTTGGTTGTGGTGACTATGGGAAGTTGTGGGGTTGACTCCATAAGGGGTACAGACTTTTGGGGGTTGGGAAATTCGTCCCCATCACTGTAGATGCTGCCAAGTGGTTGGGAGAAACCAAATTGGGTTGGCAAGTGTGGCCAACTTGGGCGAGGTGGATTGTGGAGGTTGGGAAATGGACAAAGGTCAAAGTGGGGTTCCTACAGGGAAGGGATTTGGTGTGCTTATGGAGTTTCCTTGGTTGGAGACTCTCTTGGGACCTTCCCTCTCGTCCTCCTCATCCCCTCCCACCTGGTTTAGTGCTACTCTAACTTTCTTGTGTGAGATTGTGTGAACTTGTGAGACTCTTATGATTGAGTTAAGTTCTTATGTCAGCATACCCCCCTGTGCGCCGAAATTGATAAGTCGAGTTATACTTCACCTCTTGATACGATTCAACTTGGGAATTGTAGCTATGCTCTGCTACAACATATCCAAAATTGGTGAAGTTTCAATAATGCAATTTTTTGTCGACGACGTTTCCTATGAAGTCGACAATTCTGTCCAGAGTTCCAAGCCAACGATTTTGAGAAATTTAGGCACCTAATCTTCGTAGACTCTGTCCTTAGTCTCTAACAAGTATCGCCGCAGCGGTCCCCTGCAGCTCGACGCAGCCGCCGTTGAGCTGCTCTCCCACTGGTGGATAGTGGTGTGTCACATTCGTTGTGCGACTACGGGACATTGGATAAAATTGGGGAGTCCTTAAAGAAGACCCAGTTTACAGCAACAATGGTGGACAGCAAGAAGCTACCCATCCATGGCGAATCAACCCTACAGCTACAAATATGTGTGCTAAGGTGGAAGCCGACGTTGCCGGATACGATCATCAAGGAATCAGATGTCAGAATGAACAAGAGTGATTGAACTAGGAAAGAGTTTGGTACAAGTAGGAAACCCTAAACTTACTGTACCCCATAGTAACTACCCCACTACAGCCTAAACAAACTGTAGCAGATATGACATTTGAAACACCCCCATAGGCAAAGTGGGGGAGAGCAAGGGGTCACAAGACCAGTCAAGAAGGGCAAAGCAAGCTCAGGGTGGATCACAAAGTCACCACACTCACTGAGCACAAGCAAAGGGCCACAAGGCCAGTTCACATGCATTGGCATATATGCAACACAAACATCACAGTGATCTCTACCTAGCAAAGCAAGCATGCAGGTATATACATATAAATATAGATCACAGTACAAGCAAAGCCTACAGCAAGTGAGGAAAAGTGGGCACAAGCCCTAGCATAGTGCAAAAATGCTGATGATCACCAGACTGAAGTGCCTTGGTGAATATATCAGCAGTGTTGGCCCGAGTGGCCACGTAACGCAGACGAAGCTGACCACGCTGCTGCAACTCTCGAGCCAGGAAGTACCGCAGAGCTATGTGCTTCGTTCTGTGCTCCAGTCTGTGCTCCTCACACAAGGCAATGGCAGCCTTGTTGTCGACGTACAGCACTGGAGGAGAACGAGGCGGCTCTCCCAAGTCGGTCAGCAGGTAGGTGAGCCAGCGTAACTCCTGTGCAGCCATGGGTGTCGCGTAGATCTCAGCCTCACAACTGGAGCTGAGAACTGAAGACGAGCGTGTAGAACGCCAAGAAACTGAACCAGAGCCAAGGCTGAAGGTGTAACCCTGTAACGACCGCTGAGTAGCCTGGTCGTCAACCCAAGAAGCGTCTGAGTGCCCAGTGAGAACAACTGAGCTCCTCCCTCCAAGCACGAGCCCCATGCCTGATGTACTGCACAAGTAGCGCAGTACCCTCTTAGCAGCATCCATGTGCACCTTTCGGTGCCGACAAGGAGCCACGTAGCGAGCCAGAAGGCCAAGAGGGTACGCGAGGTCAGGACGAGTGCAAGTCATCAGGTACATGAGGCAGCCAACTAGCTCTGGGTAAGGACCACTCGGCTCTACGGACTCGTCCGAAGGTGGAGCTGAGAGCGAGTGACCTGTAGCCAGAGGAGTGGCCTGTGCCGAGGACCAGGTGAAGCCGAAGCGCTGAAGGACCTGCTGCACCATGTGTGACTGAGTCAGTGTGATGGTGCGGCGTGCTCTGTCCCGGGTGATCTGCAAGCCAAGGTAGCTGCGCAGTTCACCCAGGTCTGTGCACGTGTGTCTCTTTTGCAGCTCCGACTTCACGTGGGCGAGAGGCTCAGTGTCAGCAGTGGCAAAGACCAAGTCGTCGACGTACACGAGGATGTAGAACGGCGGCAGCGAAGTGTCGGTGCGCAGAAACAGCGACGGGTCAGCAGTAGAAGGCGCGAACCCAAGAGCCGCAAGTGTAGTCCTCAGTGTGTCGTGCCACTCACGTGGCGCCTGGCGGAGACCGTAGACCGGCCGCCGGAGGCTCCACTGGGTACCAGGAGGAAACGACCTTGTGAAGCCAGGAGGGCGGCGCAGCCAGATCTCCTCGTGCAGGCTGCCCTGCAAGAAAGCTGTGCTGAAGTCAAGAGAGTGAAGCTCGTAGTCACGCTGAGCGGCAACGTGCAGTAGCACCCGAAGAGTGGTCATCTTCGAGGTGGGGGAGAAGGTCTGAAAGAAGTCTACTCCCTCTCGCTGACTGAAGCCTCGAGCAACGTAACGAGCCTTGAAGACAGGCGGAGAACCTGGCGGCCGCTTCACCCTGAAAATCCACATGCCACTGACGATGTTCGCCCCAGGAGGGGGAACCTCGTCGACGTAAGTGCCAGTGGACTTCCAGGATGCCATCTCTGCGTCCATGGCTGACTGCCACTGAGAGGAGTACTCACCCGCGATCGCCTCAGCGTAAGAGCGCGGGGCCGGGATGTCTGGTGCATCTGGGTCTCCCTCAGGTGCAATCAGCATGGACACGAGATGAGGTACAGCGGCGGCAAAGCACTCAAACTCCTCCTGCCTGTCCTCAAGGACGTCCGTGCCAAGAGCACACTCACCCCCAACGGACGGAGGACAGACAGACTCAGACTCAGACTCAGCAACAAGACTCGCAGCGTAGTCTAGACGACAGTGAGCAGCAAAGTCGACAAGCTCAGCAACTAAGGCAGACGCAGCAGCTGACTCAAAGGAAGGGTCAGTGACAGCAGTGGCTAGGAGACGCGTGACAGTAGGACTAGCAGCACGAAAAGAGTCAGACTCCGGGTCAGCAAGGGCAGGAAGAGAGGACGCAGGAGGAGAAGGCAGCGGGACACGCTGTGGAGGAGTGGAAGGACGAAGCGTCATCTGGTGAGTGCCTGGGACAGCAGGAGGACGCTGACGCGGGACACGACGACCAGTACGAGTAGCACGAACAGGTGACGCAGACCGAGGCTCAGGCGACACAGGACGAGACTCAGGCTCACGACGCTCCGTAAGACCGCCTGTCGGACCAGTGTAGGGAGAAGGACCAGGGAGTGGCGAGGCAGGCGGTAGCAGTGACAGCGACTGGACAGGCGGAGGACACTCTAAGGCGGGAGCAGGACAAGGAGGAGGCGGCTGACCAAGAACCTGCTGAAGGAGGGGAACGAAGTACGGCCGTGGCCGTGAAGTGCCCCCAGAACCAGCAGAGACAGCACCAGAACCTCCAGCAGCAGCTCCAACTCCCTCAGCACCACCAGCAGCTCCAGTACCTCCAGTAGCACCAGCAGCACCTCCAGCAGGACCAGCACTAGCAGCTCCGCCAGCAGCTCCAGTACCTCCAGCAGCACCAGCACCAGCCGCACCACCAGCCCCAGTACCAGTAGCACCACCAGCAGCTCCAGCAGCTCCAGTACCTCCAGCAGCACCAGCAGCACTTCCAGCAGGACCAGCTCCAGCAGCTCCAGTAGCAAACCCAGGGTCAGCAGTAACACCAACTCCAGTAGACTCAGCGCCCTCAGCTCCAGCTCCAGTAGCACCTCCAGCTCCCAGAGCACCACGGCGGCGGCGACAGTACCGAGAGTACCACTCACGTAGCTGCTGGGAAGAGAGAACGTCCCCAGGCGCAGCACCCCCAGGCTCAGGACCTCCAGACTCAGCACCCCCAGGGACAGCACCCCCAGTCTCAGCACCCCCAGGCTCAGCACCCGCAGTCTCCGCACCCCCAGGCTCAGCACCCCCAGTCTCCGCACCCCCAGGCTCAGCACCCCCAGTCTCAGTACCCCCAGACCCAGCACCACCAAGCTCAGCAGGCTCAGGCTCAGCACGCTCAGTACCTCGCGCAGGGCTAGAGTCGTCAGCTACCTCGACAGGCTCGACCGGGTCTACCTGGGAAACACCTGAGGGAGCAGGACCCTGGGGAGGCAGGGGGTCTACCGAAGCAGCACCTGGCGTGAGGAAGAGCGGCGGAGGGGGGAGCGGGGCAGTGCGGTAGGGGAAGAGACGGTAAAAGGGGACCGACTCGTCAAACGTGACGTCCTGAGAGGGGAAGACACGGCGCGAGGTGGGGTGGTAAAACTGCCAGCCAGGCGCGTCAGGGACAAAGCCTAGGAAGACACAAGGAACACCGCGGGAGGAGAGCTTGTTCGCGGACTTATCGCGGACAAAGGCACGAGATCCCCAGACACGGAACACAGACGCATCGCCAACCGCTCCCGTCCAACGCAGTGTCGGCGAGGTCTCCGGAACGGAGACACGGGGCCAGAGGTTGAGCTGATGCGCGGCGTACCGGACCGCAAACGGCCATAGAAAATGGGGGGCAGCCGCATGGATCAAGGAGGTACGAGCGACCTCCATGACCAAGCCAATGCGGCGCTCAGCAAACCCATTCTGCTGAGGAGAGGCCGGAAGCGTGAACGTCTGCTCAATGCCCTCCCCCTGACAGAAGGCCTCCAAGAGGCCGGAGGAAAACTCACCACCTCTGTCAGAGTGCAGTCGCAGGACGGGAAGGTCCGTGCGAAAGCGCCTCTCCAGCTGGAGACGAGTAGCGCGGATCCAAGGGATCAAGACAGCAGGGACCTCTCCCTTGGTGCGCAAGGGGAAGACCGTGGTGTAACGCGTGTAGTCGTCAACTATCAGCAGGAAGTAGCGCTCTCCGCCCTGTCCACGGACGCGGGCTGGGCCCCACACGTCCATGTGAAGGGTCTGCAGAGGAGCCTCTGTCGGGGGGAACTCAGAGGAGTGAGGGGTGGCACGCTGCCGCCCCTCGACACAGGGAAGGCAGGGAGGGGCAGGGGACGGTGGCAGGGGAGGCAGTGACCTGGGAAGACCAGAGACAAGGAAGCGAGAGTGCATGCCACGAAGGTGCTGCATCGAAGGGTGACCAAGGCGGTGGTGCCAGAGGACCGTCCGGTGCGACAGGGTGCGACACGAGCAGGGGGCGGACAACTGACCTGACGCAGACACAGACGCCGCTACTTGAGGGGACTCAGTGGTCAGTGTGTACAAGTCCGACCCCGGCTGCCGAGTGAAGGTAGCCAGGTGACGACCCGTCTGGGCACACGTGCAGTGTGTCACACGCTCGTAGGCAGGGGTGAACTGGTGAACACCCGCGTCCTGGAGCGCGGAACCCGCCACCAAGTTCGTAGAGAACGAGGGGAGGTAAAGGCCCGACAGTGTGCCGGACGGGACAGCAGGACAAGGGAGGGCAGTGGTGGAGGTCGCAAGGACCGGACCCCCGGAGGGGTCAGCCAGGGAGACAGCAACCGGCCTAGGGAGCTCCTCAAGGGCAGTGCGGTCGCGAAAGAAACAGCGGGAAGCACCTGAGTCCAGTGTGAAGGTGTGCAGTGCCTCAGTAGACGCAGTACCTGAAGGCGCAGACTCACAAGCACCTGAAGCAGCAGACACACCTGCACCTAGAGCAGCAGCCTCACCAGGACCTGGGGCAGCAGACGCGCTAGCACCTAGAGCGGCAGCCTCACCGGCACCTGGAGCAGCAGACTGGATACCGGGGTCAGGCGGCACACACAGGTGACAGGCTCCCTCGGCACTAGTAGACAATGCATACATTGCAGTGAGAACAACATCATAGTTAAGAGCAAAGATATCTACCCTCTGCCTAAGCAGCTCCACCCAGTCGGGGAGCTCAGCGTCGTCGCCAAACTCTGTACGCCAAGCGTCGCTCAGACGGGCGAAGCAGCGGGACTCTGTGTGACCACGCGTCCCGCAAGGCTGACCAGTCCGGACACCCGTGCTAATAACGTACGGGCAGCGAGCAGTACTCAGCGACCCTCTACTCTGAGCGTACCACTCACGAAGCTCCTGGGGCGAAAGAGTCTCGCGCGGACGACGCTGCTACTGCACAGGGCCACTAAAAGAAGCTCCCGAACTCCCCACTCCAGGACGACTCCCACTACTGCCACCTCGACAACCCCAACTGGCGTACCACTCACGAAGCTGCTGGGGCGTGAGCGACACACGCGGACGGCCCTGGAGCTGCATCTGGCCACGCCAGGAGCAGCAGTAGAAGCAGGAGCAGCAGGAGCAGCAGTAGCAGTAGCAGCAGCAGTAACAGCAGTAGCAGCAGAGGCAGGGCAGTGCTCACCAGTGGTGGGAAGGGCAGGCGCACGACGGAGGCGACTGCGGGGCCGCTACAGCGGCAGGGCGGGGCCGCGATCGCGGCAGGAAGCTCCGAGACGGTCGCTGCTGCAGGGGCGGCTGCTCCAGGGGCGGCTGCTCCAGGGGCCAGGGGCGGCTCCTGCAGTGGTGGCTGCTCCAGAGGCCAGGGGCGGCTGTTGCAGGGGCGGCCACTCCAGGGGCCAGGGGCGGCTGCAGGTGCGGCTGCTCCAGGGTCCAGGGGCGGCTGCTGCAGTGGCGGCTGCTCCAGGGGCCAGGGGCGGCTGCTGCAGGGGCGGCTGCTCCAGGGGCCAGGCGCGGGGTAGGGCAGGGCGATGCGGCGGGCAGGGGCGACGCCGCGGGCAGGGGCGACGCGGCGGGCAGGGCGACGCAGCGGGCAGGGCGACGCCGCGGCCAGGGCGACGCCGCGGCCAGGGGCGACGCGGCGGGCAGGGCGACGCGGCGGGCAGGGCGACGCGGCGGGCAGGGCGACGCCGCGGGCAGGGGCGACGCGGCGGGCAGGGGGCGACGACGCGGGCAGGGGCGACGCCGCGGGTAGGGCGACGCGGCGGGCAGGGGGGGCGACGACGCGTCAGCAGCTGGGCGCGGCCGCGTCAGCAGTAGGGCGCGGCCGCGTCAGCTGCAGGGCTGGCGGGGCCGCGTCACGGCAGGGCGGGGCCGCGTCCGCGTCGGCGGCAGGGCGGGGCCGCGACCGCGACCAGGCGGGGCCGCGAATGCGGCTTGACGGGGCCGCGACCGCGATCTGACGGGGTCGCGCGCTGGCCTGACGGGCCTGCAGAGGCTGCGTGCGGGCGGCGAGGGCCTGCAGGGGCGGCGTGGTCCTGCAGGGGCAGCACGCCGACCTGACGGGCCTGCAGGGGCGGCTCTCGGGCCTGACGGGCCTGCAGAGGCGGCTCGGGGGCCTTTCGGACCTGCAGGGGCGGCTCGAGGGCTTTACTAGCTTGCAGGGGCGGCGCACTGGCCTAGGGCAGCAGGAGGGCTGCAGGACGGCGCGCAGGCGGAATGAAGGGCGAGGCGCACGAGGGCGCACGAGGAGAGAAAGGCGCACGAGGGCGCACGTAAGGTAGGGCGCACGAGGGCGCTTCTAGCGGAATAGTGGGCCCGTAGTAGTAAGCGGTCCAAGGTGGCAACCTAGGCTCGTGATACCATGTCAGAATGAACAAGAGTGATTGAACTAGGAAAGAGTTGGGTACAAGTAGGAAACCCTAAACTTATTGTACCCCATAGTAACTACCCCACTACAGCCTAAACAAACTGTAGCAGATATGACATTTGATATCAGATTATATCTTCGGACGTAATTTTTTAAAGTGGTTCAACCCCGAGATTAACTGGGGCAACCGGAAAGCCTGGATCTACAACAATGAGAAATGTGTGGAGCTGCGAAGCGGAAGGATATAAAAGACATACCAAAGAGGATGCTAGCACAATGCAAGCGAACGGTGAACAAGAGTAACATGGGTAACCTGAAGCTAGTAATGGCAGCGGCGGAGGAGGAAGTCGGAATTAGAGCTACCTCGAGCAGTATGGACAGTGTTGGAGGAATACAAAGACATCATGTCTGACGACCTTCTTGCAGGAGTGCCAATAGCGCGAACCCACAAGCACGAGATCGTGAAGAGCCCGGTGCGAAACCCGTCTCACATTCACCATAATGCATCAGCCCAACTGAGCTAGCAAACATGAAGAAACGTAGAGTACCTGTTGGACTCGAAACTGATCCGACCACCCACGTCATCCTTCGACGCACCAGTTTTGTTCACTCCTAAGCCTGACAGCAGCTAACAGATGTGCATCGACTAGCAGGCATTGAACAAACAGACAGTACATAAAAAAAATCATCGTGCAACAGTGTTTTCGAAGCTGGAACTACGATTCTAGCAAATTTAAATGGTAGAAAACTCGATCCACAAAAAGACATTTACGTACACGGCGCGGTCGCTGCTGATCCATCTCTTTGTTCGACAAGGAGGGCGGCGCATAGGGTGGCTTCAGAGATAGTGCTGTGTTGCCGAAGTAGCACCTTGCAGGGTCGCCACTATGGGCCGAGCCTTGGGAGCACGATATTTACGAAAATTTCTTTCGAGATCGAGCTCCCAAGTTTTGCGATTTGATCGCGTAAGCTCCGGCAACGATTGATGTAGCTGTTGGCCTTCTCCCCTAGTGCCATTCTAGTCTCCAGTAGCTGCTAGAGCAGGCGGCTTGATGACCCTGAATCTTTCAGTTAGTAAATATTGTTAATGTGTCGCCACGCGTCGAGCGCTGAAGCAGAGGTCGTCTAGTAGGAACGAGTTCCCAGCTCCTCCGTCGGCGTCATTTTGCGTAGTAAGACGCCGTACACCATGAGTGATTCACTGTAGTACTGCGATCTGGCGTCAACGATGTCTTCTGCCAGGCCCCTGTAGCTCCCGTTGAAGTAATTAAGGATCTGCGCATTTTGCAGCAGCAACTCTAGCTCGAAACTCCAGGTGTGAAGTCCTTGCCGTCAAAGCAGGAACTTGTCTTGATTTGTTATATGCTCAAGACCTTGATTGAGGTGAGATAATTGCTTCTTCACTGGGATGGGGAGTCTTGGGTGTTGAGCCATTTGTTTCAAGGGAGAAGGTGTGTGAGGCAGCCGACACGCAAGTTGCCTGCACCCGCCGTCGTCCGCTGCACTAGCGTCGGCGCCACCGTCGACCTTAATCACCCCTCTCGTCTTCGTGCCCTCACTACTGCTGACTCGTGCACCGCCATCGACCTCCTGGTCCACGTCACCTTTGTTTCTCACCGATCGAGGAGATGCAGGACGGGAAGGGTGCTCCATCGCCCACTGCGTCCAGATGCCCAACTCGACGATCTCCAAGGGGATCGTCCCGTACTCGCCATCCTCGTGATCTTTCCTCGCATCAGCTAAACGTGCCTCCAAGGTGTCCGCTGTTAGAGTAGGCTAGAGCTCGCTCTGGTATTTATCTTAGTGTTCTTTTGTTATTTCGCCATGTTTATAGCGAGTTGCATTTTAGGTTCAGTTTAGGTTCATTTTTTAGTTTCTAGCACAAACTAAATACACCCTAAGTTCAATTGGGGTTTCGTACAACTGTATTTCGACACCTTGTTAGTGCAACCTTTTTCTCTCGTCAAATTCCCTCTTGGCAACCACGGCTCTTCTCAAGCCATTCTTAACATGGTATCTAGAGCTAGATCCTAGGCGTTTCTTTTCACTTTACATCTCTTAGTAGTTCTCGGCCAGAAGCTTATTCCGTATGACTAGTTAACCAGCCGATTTCTACTATTTTCTTTCTTGTTTTAATCTATTCTCTTAGTCACGATTTCGTACTTCCTAGCCATGGATCTGCCCTAAGCACACACGCGCCGCCCTCTTACCAACGTCGCGCGCACCCTGCCCCGTCCCGTCGCATGCGCACGCCTTGCTCGCCGTCGTCGCGCGCTCGCGCCCTGCTCGCCGTCGTCGTGCATGTGCGCCTGCTCCCCGTCGTCATGCGCGCGTGCCTGTTCCCCATCGTCGCGCGCGCGCCCTTTGCCCTTCGTTGACGTGCACGCACCCTGCCCACCGCCACTCAGCCTCACCTTCTTGCGACCGCCCTCCTTCCCCTCCTCGTAGGTGCCTTCCCCTCCCCTCGTGGTGCCTTCCCCCCTCTCGATCCGCCCCTTCACCCTCCTCCTCCTCCTCCTCCTCCTCCTCCTCCTCCTCCTCCTCCTCCTCCTCCTTTGCCTCTTTCATGCCACCTCCGCCTTTTCCACCCACCCTTTCCGCCTCTTCACCCTCCTCCTCTCTTCTCTCTTACCTCCTCTTCTTCCCTCTCCTCCCTTCCTCCACCTCATTTCCTCCCGCATTTGCTGCAGCTGGCTATTGGCTATTGGTTACCATTACGTGCCCGTGCTCCTACCTCCTCCCCTTGATCCGCCCCTTCACCCTCCTCCTCCTCCTTCTCTCCTCCCTCCCCTTCTTCCCTCTCCTCCCTTCCTTCACCTCCTTTCCTTCCGCATCTGCTGCAGCTGGCTTCTAGTTGCTGGTTGCCACTAGGTGACCGTGCTCCTACCTCCTCCCCTCACTCCGCCCCTTCATATTCCTCCTCTCTTCTCTCCCTATATTTCCCCCCCACCATTTCACCTCTTCCTCCGCCTCTCTCCTCTCCTTATCTGCTGCAGCTGGTAGCAAACTATGTATTGCCGCCATTTTTTCTTCCACACCTTTCCTCCGCCTCTAATTTCTCCCCCAGCGGCGCAGCAGCAGACTACTCCGCCATTCCTCCGCCTCTAATATCTCCCCCCAGCGGCGCAGCAACAGGCTGCTTCGTCATTATTCCTCCGCATCTCATTTTTCCCCACAGCGGCGCAGCGGCTACTCCGCCATTATTCCTCCGCCTCTAATTCCCCCCCCCCCAGCGACGCAGCAGCAGACTGCTCCGCCATTATTCCTCCGCCTCTAATTTCTCCCCCCAGCGGCGAAGCAGCAGACTACCTTGTCATTGAACCTCCGCCTCTTATTTCTCCCCCTAGTAGTGCAGGAGTAAACTACTCCGCCATTATTCCTCCGCCTCTAATTTCTCCCCACATCTGCTCCGTTGCTCTCTCCTCCCCCCAATGGCGCCTATTCACGTCCTTCCCTCTCTTCTTTTGCACTACTGCTCTCCTCCTGCCACTCTACCGCCTCTCCTGACCCTGCCTTCTCTGCCCTCTGCTTCATCTGTTGCCCCTTTCTCCCCTCACACCACCTTTCCTACTTGCTACTGGACTCTCCCCTTTCCCCACCCCTCTGCTTGGTTTTCGCTGTCTCATCAGCGTTGCCACCCTTCTGCCCCGGCCGTGCTTGCCACTGCGACCTCTGGTACTGGTTCTCTTACCTCTACTCTCAGCGTGACCATACCATCTCAAGATAGCATTCTTTGTGCTTCTCCTCTCATGGACACTTGCTTTGCCTTCTCCTTTCCTCCTTTTCTTCATAGCACTGTTTCTCAGTCTCTTAGCCCTACGGTTGTTGCTCTCTCTCTTCCTCGCACCTTAGATTTTGTCCTTGACAGTGGTGCTACGGACTCTGTCTTTTGTGAGGCTGGTGTTATTCATTCCTTTCCCAGTCTCAGGGGCTGGGGATACCATGACCATGATATGCACTGCTGCCTCTACTCTTCCTTGTCCTGCCTCCCCCTCTGGTGCCTTGACTGGCCTCTATGTTCCCTCCTGCAGACATAACCTCCTTTCTCTCTCTGCCCTTCAGCGCCTTGGTGTGCGGGCGACCTTCCTTGCAGGTCACTCCTACTATGACCTTCATCACCATGCCCGCCATCTTGCGCGTTTCAACCTCTGTCCCATCTCTCGTCTCTACTCTCTTCGTAACTCTCTCCCCTCTTCCACCCATCATACTTCCTCCGCTTCCGCCCCTCCCATTTCCTCCTGCGATTGTCGCTCCCTCACTCAACCTACACTTCTTCTTCATCATCATCTTGGCCACCCCAATTTTCCCTTCCTCCACAGCACGGTCACTTCGAAGCTTCTTCATGATCTCCCCTCTTCCCTTCCCCCCCTTCTTCCTTCTCTTGCTCCTCCATGCACTCCATGCGTTCAAGCTAAGCTCTCTTAGTCACCTCATCCCTCCTCCCCTTTTGCCTCTCCCAAACCCCTAGATCTTGTCCATATGGATCTCTAGGGTCCTTCCCTGACTGCTTCTTGTCAAGGTCATCGCTATTTTCTCATTTTAGTTGATAACCACTCACGTTTTGCCACTGTCTATCCCCTCCGTGCGAAATCTGACGCTCCCTCCCACATCATTCGCTGGGCTGAGCAGGCTCGCCTTCGTTTTGGGCGTCTTGTCGTACGTTTTCAATCACTCTCTCTCTTCTTAATATGCCTCTCATGGCATTCGTCAGACCTTTACTCTTCCCCACTCTCCTGAACAGAACGGTATTGAAGAACGTCGTAATCACACTCTCATGGAGATCACTCGCTGTCTCCTCACCCATACCTCCGTCACACATTCTCTTTGGAGCTATGCTCTTCTCCATGCCACTCTGCTTTGTAACCTTCGCCCTCATCCTCTTCGCCCCACCACTACTAACCTTCCAGCTCTGGACTAGAAGCCAGCCCTCTATCCGCCATCTTTGAATATGGGGGTGTGTCGCCCATGTCCTTGTCGATCCGGCAGACCTGTCATGCCAGGGTAGGAAGCTCGCTCCCAAGACGCAGCTCTGTGCATTCATTGGCATCAACTCTGACTATCCTGGCTACCTTTTCTACGCCCCTTTCTCTCCCCACCTCATCCGCAGCCAGGATGTCATCTTTGACGAGACTTGCTCTCCATTTCTCACTCTCCCACCCGCCCCTCCTGCACCCTCTCTTCATTGGTCTGATTTTGATCCACCACCATCTGTCACCCTCCCCCCCCCTTCCCCGCCCCCCTTCCGCCCCCCTCTGCCCCTCCTCCCCCGCCAGCCTCTACTGCCCTCCCCGTCCAGCGTCATCTCTAGAGCCTCCCCTCCAGCCTCTTCCTCTTCGGCTCCCATGCCATCTTCACCCCCGCCTTCCTCTCCTCCTCTTCCATCCGTTACTGTTCCCCCCCTTCCCCGCGCCTAACCCGTTCCATGATCCGCGCACTCTCCAACTTTCAACACTCTGCTCTTTTCACTCGCCTCTTTCTATCCTAGGATCTTGATCTTCTTGAGGATCGTTCTGAGGAGCTTTTCTCTATTCACCCTGATTCTCCTCTCCTCTGCGCCACCATCGGTGACTTCAGCAACTCTCCCACCCTTCTCTCTGTTGACACCGCTGCTATTCCCACCCCTCATACCTATTCTGAGGCAGTGTTTGGCTTTCATGCAATTGAGGTGGATGACTGTCATCATTTTCGAGTGTGAAGCATTCACCAGGACTCAATCTTACGTTAACTCTGTCCCCCCTCCTGGTGCCACCATTGTCAAGGGCAAATGGGTCTTTCATGTCGAACAGCTTCTTGGGGAGCTCTCTGTCTTCAAAGCCCGTTATTGCGCCAAAGGCTTCATCAAACGTGAAGGCATTGACTACTTTGCCACTTACTCCCCCACTTCCTGTCTCCCCACTCTTTGCCTCCTTCTTGATCTAGGCAAGGAAAATACTCAAGTCAGCGCCCCGCTGACTTTCCTCGCCCCTTCCCTCCAGGCACTGTCTAGGAGCTGAAGCGCCTAGTGTATGGTCTTAAGCAGGCCCCACGCGAGTGGCATGCTAAGCTCGCCTCCACTCTTCACTCTCTTGGCTTCTCCACATCCTCTTCCGACCCCAGCTTTTCATTCGCACTTCCCCCCACATGCTTTACATTCTTGCCTACGCCGATGACTTGGTGCTTCTTGCTGTGGACCTTGTATTATTGTTTCTGGGTCTTTTAATGTGTCATGCAGGCCCTCCAGGAATGCCTCCTGTGCAAGGACCTTGGTGAACTTCGTCACTACCTCGGCATGGAGATTCGTCGCGATCGTGTTGCGCGCACCATTTATTTCTCTCAATCCTTCTACATCCACTCCTTCCTTGAGCGCTTTGAAATGTCGCAGGCCAAGCCAGTTTCCACTCCTCTTCCGGCTAACCATCAGCTTTCTGCCCCTGCCGTTCCTGCTCCCTCCTCAAAATTCCGACCCTATCCTGAGCTCGTTGGGTCACTCATGTATGCGATGATGTGCACTCGTTCCGATCTTGATTACCCTTCAGTGTCCTCTCTCGTTTTGTTGGCCTTGGTTGCCACACTAACGTGCACTGGGCGGTTGCCAAGCACGTTCTCCGCTATCTCCGCGCTACCTCTGATCTTGCACTCGCTCTTGGTGGCTCTTCCCCTCCCCATTCTTTCCGGTTACCATGATTCCTCCTACGCTAATTCTCGCCGTGATCGCCGCTCCTCTCAGGGTTATGGTTTTACTCTTGGCAGTAGTCTCATCAGCTCGCGATCCACTCGCTCATCCTCTGTTTGCCTTTCTACCTGCAAGGCTGAGTTGTACGCAGGCACATTGGCAGCTTGTTTGGCAGCCACTGCCAAACCCCCTACCCTCCGTGTCTTGTTGGCAGATGCAACCATTAGTGGGAAATTCATCATTCAGATGGATATATCTACGGCATTCCTCAATGGGATTTTAGAGGAGGATGTGTACATGACGCAGCCGCCTGGGTATGAGGATGGTACGGGCAGGGTGTGCAAGCTGAAAAAGTCCATCTACGGCTTGAAGCAGGCGCCACGCTGCTGGTACCAGAAGTTGGCAGCTGTTTTAGAGGAGATGGGATTCAGGACCAGCAGCTGTGATGAGAGCCTCTTTCTCAAAGGGGAGGGGGAGAAGCTTGTGCTGTATCTGGTCTACGTGGACGACATTCTTCTCTTTAGCAGCAGCATGAAGGAGATCCAGAATGTGCAGCAGCAGCTGATGGAGAACTTCAAGTGCAAGAACCTTGGGGAGGTAAAGTACTACCTCGGGATGCACGTGGAAAGGGATCCAGATCACAGGTGGTTGAAGCTGCACCAGGAGAAGTTCATCAAGGAGCTGGGGGAGAAGTATGGGATTGAGAATGAGCGCAAGGTTGAAGCCGAGGAGCAGCAGCAATTTCAGTCCTTGGTGGGCAGCCTCTTGTATGCAGCAGTTCACACAAGGCCCGACATCTCTTTCTCGGTTGGGCAGCTGGCTAGGGTGGTGCAGAATCCATCAGAGGAGCAGGTGGATGCAGCTGAGCGTGTGATGAAGTATCTGAACTCTCACCCAAGCATTGGAGTTCAATACTCCGCATCTGCACAGGTGAAGCAGAAAGGGGTTGAGGTGCTGAAAGAGAAGGGGGAGAGGCTTGGAGAAGGCAAGCTCTTTCTCACTTGCTTTACCGATGCTACGTGGGCCTCTGAGAAGGAGGATTCCTCATCTGTAGGAGGATACATCTGCATAGTTGGGGGAGGACCTGTTAGTTGGAGGTCAAAGAAGCAGACGGAGACGGCACTCTCTTCCGTGGAATCAGAGTACATGGCGATGTTCCATGGGGTGAAGGAGGTGATTTGGATGAGGAGGCTGTTAGAGGAGATTGGCCAGGAGCAAAAGGTTGCTACGCCGCTGTTTTGTGATAGTAAGGGAGCTCTTGGGATGGCGAGGAACGCTGTGCTTCATGGGCTGAACAAGCACATGCGTATCAAGTGGCACTGGCTGCGTAAGGAGGTGAAGAGGGGGATGGTGAATCCGATCTACATCAAGA